TTGACCCCGAGCTATGGGGAGCCTCGGGGCCCCTGCCCAACATTTCCTTTTTTCCTTAACCCCCCCCCCCCCCCCCCCTTGCCGCCCCCCCCGGTTTTTGCCATCGGGGTTTGGGTTTTCGTCGCCTGGCAACGACGTTGTAAAACAAGCCCCCCACTCGGTGTTTGCCATCGGGATTGGGTTTTCGTCGCTTGGCAACGACGTTGTAAAACAAGCCAATTCACTTCGTGAACTCGGCAACCAGGTTACCGGTTTTTTTTTGGCGGTAACCATAATGGTGGTCGAGTAGATCATGTTGTGCGGGGTCGAGAAACCTCACTCCGCGCAACGGAGGATGATCGCACCACGTTGTGCTAAAATGGTCAAGCTTCCTCGAGGCAGTTACACAGTGCTTACAACTGTCTCTGGAAGTGAAAGCACCAGAAAATAAATTAAGTCATACGTAGCTGTCATCCGTACGCAAGGAAGTAAGCACAAGATGCCGAACAACCTTAGCAGGATGCAGCTCACCCTTCATGCGACTCGCCAAATACCTCACGGCGCTTCGCGCTTGGTGATGTGAGAGCCTGGTCCGGTGAGAACCCGGCGTGCTCCGTCCCGGCTTCGTAGGGATGCGAGGTCAATGGTCAAACGACTACGGCATGCACGACTTTGAGTACACCCCCCCCCTTTGTCTCTCTCTTCCGTACGCTTTGCGCGCGTGTGTAGGTTGAAGCGCTGTGGGCCCTCACCAACATCGCGGCGGGGGCCCCGGACCACGCCCAAGTCCTCACCAACAGCGGCGCGGTACCCCCCCTGGTGGTTCTGCTTGACAGTCCCAACGAGGAGGTTTTGGAGCAGGCGCTGTGGCTGCTGGGGAACCTGGCCGGGGAAGGGGCGGCGGCGAGAGACGCCGTCCTGGCGGTGGATGCGCTGCCCCCCCTTGTGCGATGCCTGGAGAGACACCAGGTGATTACTGCCGCTGCCGCTGCTGCTGCTGCTGCTGCTGCTGCTGCTGTAGGCTGTTGCTATGGAGTATCCAGAGGCGGGTCGACCGGCAGCTGTCGAGGCCTCGGTTGATGATGAGTTGTTTTTCAAAAAAAAATTGGATGGAAGAAGACTTCCTCTGTGTTGTTGTTGGCTGTTGGTTGTGATGAAATCGAGGTTTCAAATCAATCGTCTTGTCACAATCGCCACGACCAACCTACAGCGGTGAAGGGTATTATTACTTGTCAACACGATGCTGCTGCTGCTGCTGCTGCTGCTGCTGCTGCTGCTGCTGCTGCTGCTGCTGTCTCGAAGAAGTAGCCTGTTGGGTGTGAGTGGCGTGTGGTACCTCCGCACACGTGTGTGAGAGGAATGCGCCGCGTGTTTCGATTGCGTCCGCTGCCACCCGAGTTTTTTTTTTTTTTGCTGTTGGAAGATACCATCCACACGTACGTGTTTGCGTGGCTTATTTTTTCTGTTCTTGTGTCTGCCTCGTTTGCAAACACCCGTGGTGTGGGTGCCAGCCGGTGCACGACGCACGTTGTTTATTTAGCGCCTAGACTAACCGCTTCTATATTTTTTGTCTGAAGAAAGCAACAAATATGGAGGTTATGGTATGCGTTTTGTAAGTACCTTTTCACCGGCTTGATCTCGGCTGTCGTTCCACACGATTTGCGGGTTTTACGTTTTCTCTTCCGACAGGGGTCGAGGTCGTTGCTGAAGATCGGGTCCTGGACGCTGAGCAACCTCTGCGACGGCCAACCCCGCCCTGTCCTCGACGTGCACACCGTCATCCCCGCCCTCTCGAAGCTGCTTCAGCACACGGACAGCGAGATCCTAAGGTGTGTTAAGCGTGTTGTGTGTTTTTCTTGTTGGCCTCGCTAACCGCCCGACCAATCCACAGACGTCAGCCTCCGTGCGGCTGAAGACGGAGAATGCTTCCAAAGGCTACCATGATCTGGGACCCCGTGATGGGGTGTCATATTCGGGGGGGGGGGGTATGCCGGCGACTTGCTGGCTGTTCCTTCGTATTTCTCGTCCATTGTGGGGGGTGGCGGTGAGAGGGTGTTGTGTCTCTCTTCTGGTGATGGTAGTCCTTCCTCTGCCACTGCTGATCCCTCGGTAAGCTGTTTGCTGTTGGTGACGGTGGTGGTGGTGGTATTGCCGGCTGCCGGCGTCGCTGATAGTGGTACACGTTTCTGACAGATTTATTATCGTGCGGTTGCGGTTGTTTTGTCTTTTTTTTTCGGGCTCGATTGTTCTTTGTTCTGACCGTGTGAGGACGACTGTTTGGTACCCCACCCCCCACGTTCACGTGCCGGCCAGCCAGGCACTGGCCTGTCCTATCTATCATTCCACTATTTTCTTACCTTTTTTTCCCGCTTTGCCACCTTGTGCTCTTGTATTGTTTTCTGTGTGATTTTTTTCTCACCCCATCTGTCTCTAGCCACACTTGCTGGGCGCTGAGCCACTTGTGCGACGGTTTGTCCACGCACATCCGAGCCGTGGTGGATGCTGACATCTGCTGGAGGCTGGTCGAGCTGCTCAAGCACCGCAGGTACGCCGCTGGGTTCGTTTCTTTTTTTCGTTTTCACGGTTTATTTATTTATTGTTTTCTTGTGGGCAATAACAAATTTTCCCTCGTTCAACGACATGATATGATATGATACCGTTCTTGGTGTCTGGGGAAAGAAAGTCAAGCATGGCACTTCATATGTGGGAGTAGGTGCGTCGAATGTGGGCCAAATGTTGCCCCGCTTGTGCTCGTAATTTCTTACTACTGTATCAAGCACGATGAATCCATCTCTACCCGCAAAAAAAAGAGTCCAGGATTAACTGGCCATGAATTCATGTTAAACAGTAGCGGAAACACTACGTGCTCTTTGTTTTGTGTTTTTTTGTTCCCGGCGTGCGTGCCCGGCGTGCCTTGTGCAGTTTTCCCGCGACGAACCGGACGCACTGCCTATTTTGTTGTGTCTTGTTCATATATAGTTTTTTTTTTTTTTGCCCTTGTGTGCTTGGCGCCGTCCGCCGTGTCCCCAGTTGGCGTGTGACGAAGCCGGCCCTCCGAACGATCGGAAACATTGTCTGCGCGGAGGACGACACGGACTACACCCAGCACATCATAGACGCCGGAGCCGTGCCCTGCCTGCAGCAGCTCATCGCGCATAGCAACCGGGAGATCCAGAAGGAGGTGCGCTTCTCGTCGCACGTTGTCCTTGTCCTTGTGCCTTGTCGTGGAGTTGGTGGTGTATGTTGCTGCCGTTGTTTTACTGCTGCTGCTGCTGCTGCTGCTAGGTGTCCATTTGTCGTATCCTCTTACGCCATGAAGTGTTGGTGGTGTATGTTGCTGCCGTTGCTTTACTGCTGGTTCTGGCTGTCCATTGGAGGGGCGAAGATGCGTGAACGTCGTGTGTGCTGATGGCGCTTTGTCTTGCGTTTCTCCGCACTGCCCAGCCCATAAAAAAATTGTCGACGTGAACGTCTCTCTCTGTCTCTCCCTCCCTCTCTCTCTCTCTCTCTCTCTCTCTCTCTCTCTCTCTCTCTCTCTCTCTCTCGTTCTCTCTCTCGTCTCTCTCTCTCTCTCTCTTGTTCTCTCTCTTGTTCTCTCTCTCTCTCACTCTCTCTCGTGTGCACGAATGATCGGCTTCCTGCACAACGCGCGCACGGGTTCATGCCATGCCATGTCACACGGTGGCAGGCCTGCTGGACCCTCAGCAACATCGCGGCGGGTACGGTGGAGCAGATCCAGACCGTCCTAGACAGCGGTGCCCTCCCTTCCCTCGTGGAGCTGGCTTCCTCTCAGTGCTTGGACCCAGCAGGTCAGTCAGGCAGTCGAAGGAGAAGCATGCCGTAGGTGACATGACGCAAGATTCCACACACCCTTGACTGGTTTCCACAGCCGGGTTGCTCCACGACGAAGAGGATGATGCGTAAACGATGCGGTATCTGCGTTTTCGGAGAGCTCTCGACGAACGGATGGCGTTTTTGGCACAGCCCCTCTTTTCTGTTGCGGAGAAATCGAGTTTTTGGAAATCTGCCCGGGGGGTATATTATATCTATCGTCCCCTACGGATTGTTGTAGAGGAGGACGGCGATCGCAAGCAGCAGTGACGAGAGTTGCACGACGAAAGTATTTCAAGGCCGCGTCGTGCCAGGGGATTGGACACTATCCAGGGCCTAAGGAACAGCTTGGACATCTATCTCATCTGCGACAACGCGATAGCCGGCGCTGGTCTTGCAGCCCTGTAGGCCAGGACCGCTACACTGCCGCAGAACCGTGGCAGTTTCTCCTACGCGCTGCGTGGAATGGACGCTTCTACCGAAGACATTTTTTTAATTTTGCGTTACAAAGAGATGCCGTATGCTACTTGTAAGCATTCATGCCGTGTGCATGCTTTTCCTTCTGTTTGTTTTCGCGTGTAGATCCGGACAGCGGCGGGGCGGACCCGGAGGTCCGCAGCGAGGCGAGCTGGGCGGTGCTAAATGCGACCAGCTGCGGCTCCGATCACCAGGTGTGTGTGCGTTATGTGTTGCGTTTGTGTGTCTTTCTGGTTAGCATAGGCCGAGCTAACCGGCTGATCAAATGAAAGTACGTCAGTCTCAGTGCCGCTGAAAACACAAAATGCTTCTATAGGCAACGATCTAAGACGTGTGTGTGTGTGTATGTGTGTGTGTGTTGTTCCTTGAATGGGCATCGACCGCGCTATCCGACAGACCAGTGTGTTTTGCACTTTGGCTTGTAGAGTTGTCATCCATGCCCACACATAGCGCACATCTAAATGCGCAACATTTAGTCGGCGATAGCACCTGCGCCGCCGTTTCATAGCGGGCACCAGCTTGCTAACTCGGCTCTGGCCCTGAGCCCTGGCTTGATGCCCCCCGCCCCGCCCCCCCCCCGTTCTTGCGACGCAGATTGAGTACTTGGTTCAAGAGGGCGGGATAAAGGTTCTGGGGGAGCTGCTGAATCAAAGCAGCATGGTGATGATGGCCCTGGAAGGATTGGAGAGAATCTTGCAGGTGCGGGCTTGCCCTTGTTAGACCCCCAACCGACGAATGTAAAGGTGTTGGGTGCTCACGATGCCACGCCACTTGTAAAGTGGCGCGGGAAGGTGCAAAGGAGGAGTGTTGACGGCGGAAGCCACGATTCGCGTGGGCCCCGGGAGGGGGAGGTGGAGGTGATGATTCACGGGGCCGTCGCAAGGGGGTCACACAGACATCTACTACTTGTTTTTTTGCCACATGCGATATTCCTAGCAGATGGTAGTATTGTCCTTAAGCTCTGGATAGCAGGCGGCGCCGCTGCTGTCAGTATTTTGAGGAGGGTGGCACGTGTCCTCCAGGATACAGCTCGTCGTGGACAGCAAATGGAGGGTGGGCAGGACGATGGCCTGAATTTGTCCTGGTCTTGGATGCTATTTGGCAACGCGATATTTCGAGTTCCAGATACTCTCACTGATGTCAAAGTATCCTGCAGAAGGCATCAATGCTACCTACGGGCTGTTGAGATAGCTTGAAGTTATGTGTTGCTCTTGCGTACGAGATAACCTGAAGTTATGGGGTGCTCTTTTGGTGCGGTTGCCAGAAACCACCCCGCTGGCGTGTGCTCTTTTCTCAGCCGCTCAGCCAAACATAGCGCTGCGTCCTATCGCTTGTTCTGGCCGTGGTGTCAGGTGGGAGACAAAGAGGCGTATCGACTGATGGTGGGGGATTCGGGGGGTGGCGGCGGCGGTGGGCAGCAGGCACGGCAGCTGCTCGGCCACACTCCACGTCGGGACGGTGGTGGCGGTGCGGCAGGGGGCCTCACGAAGGGAAATCCGTACGCGGCTCTGTTGCAGGCGACCAAGATCGAGCTCCTGGAGACGCACAAGAACACGCAAGTGGCCAAAAGGTGGGGGTTGTCTTTGTCGTCGTCGTTGTTGTCGTTGTCGTTGTTGTTGTCGTCGTCATTGCTGTTGTTGTTGTCGTCGTCATCGCTGTTGTTGTCGTCGTCATTGTTGTTGTTGTTGTCGTCGTTGTTGTTGATGCTGCTGTGAGCTCAGCGCACTCGAAGCATCGCCTTCGTTTCGTTTTGTTTGCTGCTCGCGACTCCTCCCCACGTGCTCTTGCGTGTGTGTACGTTTTTATTGGCTGCGTTTGTCCACTTTGACCATGTGCGGTGCTGAGTACTCCCCCCCCCCCCGACCTTGCTTCTTCCGTGTGTTCGTTCCCCTCCACAACGTCAAGCAGAGCTCAGCGCATTCGGAAGAGATACTACGTCCGCTGCGCGATCTGCAATCAGTCCTTTTCAAAGGCGTCTCAGAGAACTCACTTTTGTCCGGAGTGCAAGGTACGTTTGTGCTGCTGCTGCCGTTGTTGTTGTTGTTGTCGTCGTCGTTGTCGTTGTTGCTGTAGGGAGCGACTGGCCTAAGACCATGGTCCCTATTGTGTCCACCAGCACGAGACGCATTCAACCTTAACCCTATAGCCCAAAACCTACCGCGGCGATGATTCCAAGAGGCGCCGCCGCCGCCGCCGCCAACGACCATGATAGCAATCCTGAACTTGTGTACGCCCGGTGCTGGCCGACGACCATCGTTTTGCTCCGGACCCAACACTGATAGTCAGCTTTCGCCTCTGGCCCGCCCTACCCCTTGCGATAGTCATTTTTGTTTGTGTCTGTCTCCGGACCCCCAACACGTGTGATCATCAAGTTCGCCTCTGGCCCGCTGTCGTTGCCTGCTGCGCCGGCAGTGCGAGGTCTGCCGAGACTGCGACTGCACCCGCTTCCACCTGGAGTTCCAGCAGGAGCTGTGGAAGGAAATGTCGGAGCAGGAGGCGAACGCTCGGGCGAGCAAGAAGAGCAAGAAGCAGAAGAAGAAGCAGAAGGCCAAGGAGCGCAACAAGGCCGCCACGACCACTACCGCTGCTACCGGCGCCGGTAACGGTAGCGGCAGCGGCGGTGGTGGTGGGGCCGTTCCCACCCCGCAACCGTCTTCCAACGGCAGCACGACCGATGTTGCCGCCCCTCCGCCGGGGCCGGGGCCGGTGCCGACGTCGACGCCGTTAAGTCAAGGCGACGGTGGAAACGCTAGCGGCGGCGGCAGCGAGGGCGTGCGCGATGGCGGCGGGAGCAGCGCCCGTGGTGGCGGCGGCGGATCCCTGTCAGCCAACGGGGGGAGTAGCGTCAACAGTGCCGCCGTTAGCGCGCCTAGCGGCGGCGGTGGCGGCGGCGGCGGCAACGCGAGCGGGGAGAGCAAGAAGAAAGGCAAGAGAGCAGCCGCCAGCAGCGGCGGGGTTGTAGCCAAAGGCAACGGGCGATCCGAACCGGCACGAGTCGTGCCGCGCCGTAGCGGCACGCCGGCGCCTACTTCCGGAGCCGGGGCGCTCGCGGAGAGGAGCAACGGCGGCGGCGGCGGAGGCGTCAAGCCCACCCAGACACGAGGGCCGGGGACAACGCCGGCCGCGCCGGCGCCAGCGGCACAGCCTGCCCCCCCGGAAGCTGCCGCCCCCGTTGCCCCCGTCGCCAACGGGACGCGGCCGCCGCCTCCACCGTCACCGCGGCAACGAACAGCAGCCGTCGGCGGAGGCGCCGCCGCCGGTAGCGGGAAGGGAAAGGGGCAGCGGCGAGCGAGAGCGGCTCCGGCGGGCAAGGAAGAGGAGCGGGGGGGCGAAGGCGGCGTTAACGCCAGAGTAAGCGGGAGCGCGAAGACGCCGAAGGCAACAGCCTCTGGCGCCGCCTCCGGCGCCGCCGCGGCGGCGGGGAGCCGGAGAGTGCCCCCGGCGGCGGCGGCGGACGTAAAGCCGGCGGTAGCAGTTGGCGCCCGTTCGCGGTCGAAGGCCGCCACCGCTTCGGCTCCGGCGACCGCCGGCGCCAGCACTGGCGGAAAAACAACCGCCGCCGACCAGCAGCGCAATTCCAACCCTGGTAACGCCGTCAGCCGTGGTAGCATCACCGTTGGCGGCGGTGCGAGGGTGAATGAAAAGCCCGACCCCTCGTCGTCATCCAAGAACTCGTCGGCAGCAGCAGCAGCAGCAGCAGCAGCAGCAGCAGCAGCGACAGCAGTAGGCGTGCCGGTGGGCCGCGAGGCTCCGAACGGCCGCGCTGGCGCCCCTGCTCCCGCGCCGTCGTCGCCGGCCGCGAGCCGGGGCGGCGGAGGCGGCGGGAAGCGAGCTGGGGGTGGGGATGACGACAGCCTGAGGCAGAACGACAACTACGTGTCCTTCCTGAACCAGACGGGATCGATCCTCGCCCTGGCGCAGATGCTGGACCGGCAGTCGCTCGAGGAGTGCTAGACAAACCTCCGCCAGGAAAAGGATAATGGCTACGGCCTGGTGCTGGCGCAGATGCTAGACCGGGAGTGCTAGGTAGAACTCCGCCTGCGAAAGGATACCGGCTCCTCTGCCGATATTGACTGCCCGCCGTTCGGTGCACATTCGTGTGCCCCCGGCCTCCGCCTCCTGCCAAGAACGCCACCTTTCCTCTAGTTCACCCCCCCGGAGGCAGAACCAGGTCATGACCGCGGGGTTGCGGTTGGCCAAAGTTTAGTGGAGAAAAAGCATGGCCCACCTCGTCGGTCGAGACAAGCGTGTTTTTTTTGTTTTGTTTTTCGTGGAACCTCACCCACCCAAATCTTTTCGAAAAATATGTCAATTCCTCAAACACTCTCGTTTTTTTTTTAGAGAAACGGCGGTTGTTATTGTGGTAATCTGCGTTCTTTTGTCTGGGTGCAACTGAATCGGAGTCCTTCGGTATGAAAACGAGACAGCAAAGTACGTGCTGCGGGCAACTAACTGCACGAGACTTGTTGGGCTCGGAAGTGCGGTGGGGGGGGGGTTGGTGCGACCCTGAGGACATCCCGCTAAATGCGGGGAGTTTTTTTTGCCGGTATGTTTGTGAAGGGAGACACGAAGAGGCAACGTCGGCGCAGCAGCATCGTCGAACCTGAAAAATAGGGTCTGGTAAGTCTGGGTGGGGTTGTATGCCGTCTGTAACCGCTATGTAAGTTAGACGATGCGTTCAATGGATGCCCCAAGGAGAACGAACGGGTGCTCGCATAAAGCCTTATCACTTTTTTTTTTTTGACGCTACAGTACAGTCGGGAGCCCTCTATAAAAGTACGGATGAAAATTGGCTGGGAAAGATGGAATATTCAAGATGGCTGAGACATTGAATAGCGCGGGTGCCGGCCGTGGTGCCGATTTTGCCGCTTGGCACATACATACTTCGCACTTTTTCAAGAACGCTCCGGACTACTACTGTATGCCGTTCACACGAGGGGGGGCCAACCTGCTGGGATGGGATTGCCGGGTTGGTGCGAGTACACTCCGCGCGCCCCCCGCGGTTGGCCTGAGACAACCGGGTGTAGGCGGTGGGGGTTTCGGTGAAGGTCTTATCTTTGCCTTCGAAGGTGTTGAGGGCATGTTTGCGGTTGCGGTTTGGGGAAGAAGGTAGGTACAGTAGATGATGTGAGTGGGATCGGGGGCATAGGACCCCCGTACACATACATCTCTCTCCCTGCTAGTCACACGTACGTGCTTTTTGGTCCGCTGGCGGGTGTTGGAAAAAGAGCGGGGTCGTGCTTTCGACGCGTTTGGGAATTGCTGATAAATGCATGCCCCCACGTTTGATAGACAGACGAACAGGTGCACGTCGCCCCCTTTCTTTCTCCTCCCGCGGGCGGAGTGCATCCCCGAGCGAACAGTCTGTGGAAGTGGGCACCGGGGGGGGGGGGATAGGCAGAGCGGGGAGATTCATCCAACTTTTTAGTTTTGAAGAAGAAATAGGATGCAGAGGTCGCCTGTTGCGATTCGGCAACGGAGTGCTCAGCTGTTGGGGGGGGTAATAGTCGAAAAAACGCGCGCTCGCAGGTAAGCGCGCGGCAGGAATCAAGTGCGTGTTTCGCGCGTTGAGGGTTTGGGCGTGATGTGCATCCCAGCCGTTTCAGGCTGGTCATATGGCTTGTGGGGGGTCGAAAGGCGGACTTCGATTTCCGGATCTGGGTCGGGTAGTATTATATACTGTTGGCGCTGCGCAGAGAAGAACGCGTGGGACAGGTTGCCGGGGGGTAGGGTGGGTCCGTCGTATCACGCGCTTTGTCTACGTATTGTGGTAACCGTTTGTGATGGGTGGGGTGGTATTGCTAGTGTGAGTACTTACTTGCTGGCCTTGGGTTGTTGGTTGGGGCCATATTTTCGTGAGGGTTGGTGGTTTGGTGTGTACATGTACGTGTGTTCGTTTCGTGACGTTTTGTCTGCTGCTTTCTTTTTTTTTTTTTTTCTTTTTCATAAAATATCCATCTAGCCGTGTATCTCATCATGCTGGGTTCAAACGTTGTAGTAGCCTGGGAGGCCGGTCGCTGGGTATTGTTGCCCGCGGAGGTAACCTGACCAAGGTCTTTTTAGGAGCGGCTTCGGGGGGGGGGGGGGGGGGG